GGCCATCCTGGTCCATCTTCGGCTGGCAGCCTCCTCTATTGCTTCACTTCGTAGACTTGTGAATTTTGGCCTAATTCATCGTGTCATTTCTGAGTTCTTGGCCCATTCATACATAAGTCTGGTTCTTGACAAAGTCCAATTGATTTATTGTCTGAGTTGATGTCGATTCTCCTCCACTTTATTGCCATTCTCTGCAAAAGGTTAGTATACCTAATACAAGTGGAATATTATTATTCTAACATATTTATGCATTGCAAGCATCACTAGTTCTCCTCTATTTTAATTATATTGACAGTCGAAACTGATCGATAACGACCGTCCACAGCGGCGCCTGCCTCATCCTCCACCCTGTATCACCCCGCACGCGTGCGCCTTGCCACTGCTACTCGCATGACGCCATCGATGGTGGTTGTGCCAGCCGCTGTGCGGGAACAGCGCTGCGCTGTTACCAGCGCAAGCTTCTACATCTGCGGTGTAGGGAGAGATCGACTAGGGAGATGGTGCCATAAGGGAGAGCATGCATGGGTGAGTGCATGGGTGCGCAAGATGCCACCGCCACTCCCCATCGTCGTCCTACCACCACTGCCGCTACCACTGTTGTGAAGTCGGCTAGAAGAAAGGGCCAAATAGGGAAGAGGAAGAAGAGAGAGAAAGGAATAAGGAAGAAGGGAAGGAGAGAGAATGACATGTGAGCCCCACAAGCTAACTCAGCGGGATGGTGTAAGTCAATATGTCACATAGAGGAAACCACAGTCAATACTATCGAGGAAATCAAATTGCACTAATAGTTGGGAGTTAAAATATCCGATATTAAGGTTGAGGGATACAAATCTCAGATTGAATCTATATTTTAGTCAAAGTGGACTTATTTTGCTCGACTAGTCATAGCTAAAGCACGGGCACACGGGCTCGCATATCAGCCTTTTTTTTACGGAGTTGTGCTACGCGTATGGGAATGGTAGACAGCCTTCAGGCAGTAGCTAACAGAGCATCATTGCAAGAGAACAAAAATGCCGGTCAAACTTACAAGAACTACTCCCTCCTTCCCTAAATATTTGACGCCATTGACTTTTTTAAACATGTTTGACTATTCGTCTTATTCAAAAACTTTTGTGAAATGTGTAAAACTATATGTATACATAAAAGTATATTTCACAATAAATCAAATGATAGGAATTAATAATTACTTAAATTTTTTGAATAAGACGAACGGTCAAACATTTTAAAAAAAAGTCAATGGCGTCAAACATTTTGGGATGGAGGGAGTATATGATACCTGCGTGTTGCTGCGGGACTATATCTAAATATTTGTGATATACTACCTCCGTTTTTTAATAAATTACGCCGTTGACTTTTTATCACACGTTTGTCTATTCGTCTTATTAAAAAAATTTACGTAATTATAATTTATTATGTTGTGAGTTGTTTTGTCACTCAAAGTACTTTAAGCATGATTTATATCTTATACATTTGCATAAAATTTTTAAATAAGATGAATGGTCAAACATACGTTCAAAAGTTAACGATGTCATCTATTAAAAAACGGAGGGAGTAGGTATCTACAACTACAAAGAGAAAAACACTTGGAACATCAATAGAAGAATGAACTAAGAAGTGCTTATCAGGTTTTTTTTTCCGAAACATACTATTCACCGATCTATTCCAAAAATTGTTTACATAATTCTCGGTACACTGACCTATTATTATCCAGGACAACTTGGCCCTCTCAAACTTGTTCAGAGGTATTGGAAAATGTTCCATCCAGTCTGAAAAATCTGCTCTTTTTGGGATGACTTGTGGAATGAGGAACTGCTTAGCTCCAAATTTCCTACTCTGCATGCTCTAGCTTCATATAAGGAGGAATCGGTTAGCAGAATGTGCTTTAGGACTTCGGAGGATTGTTTCATGCTGCCTCTTTCTACCTAGGCTTATGGGGGATTTTTGCAACTTCAGGACTTCTTGAATTCTCTGAATTTGAATGATGCACAGGGTGACAGTTGGAGTTTTATTTGGAATTCAGAGATATAAGCTTAACTTCATGTCTTATGAGCCCTCATAGGCCTTTTGTTTGGTTATGGAAGACCAAGTGTATTATGAAAGTCAAGGTTTTTGCGTGGCTTTTATTTTGTGACAGGCTGAACACACGAGATATGCTTGATAAAAGGCATTGTGCAAAGGAGGATGATGATTTCACCTGCCCCTTATGTCCTGGAGGACAAAGGGAAACTCGGCTACATCTCTTTTTTACCTGCCCTTTCAGTATGAGATGTTGGCAATTTTTGGGAATTGTTTGGAATCATAATTTGGAGTTCTTTCACATGGTAACTCTTGCAAGATGGATGTTCGGTAGAAATGGCAGAAAGGGATTCTTGGAAATTTTCTTTTTAGCATCATGGCACATATGTAAGCAGAGTAATAGGCTAATTTTTGATAATATTATTCCATCATTTCAATCTTGGAAGGCCTTGTTCGCCAAAAAAAATTATTCTACATCTGTGTAAAATGAAGGATCTTTAAAGCAATCCGTTTTTGATTGGTTGCAAACTTTGTAGCTTTAAGATCTTGTTGTATGTAAACCTCTGTAAATATTTTTTGCTTTAATGAAAATACACTGCTAGGCAAAGCCATTTCCAAGTAAAAAAAATAATGTAGGCTGCAACAAGCGGACTATAGAGGCCATTGCATTGCAAACTGTCCTAGAAAAAGAGATAGTTACAACCTGTAAAACTGAGGGAACACAACATTTTATATTTAACAAATTATTTTATTTGAATATTGGACAAATCATATAAGTTTAATTATTTTTTTTGGCAAAAAGAGGTTACCAATGAGAGTGAAACCATTTGAAACATCGATTTTAATTATCGCATACTGCACTGCTGCACACTTTTTGGGTGAAAAGACGAGAAATTTTCCTCGCAGAGCCGTAGAGCTTATACTTTTTGATGAATAATAAAAAAAACTTTGATGCATGGAATCCTTTACCAACGAAAAGGCTGATCCAGAGAGCATAGAAAATTCATACATGAACATTTCGTGAGGTATTCACGAACAGTGACAATACCTAGTGAAAGGATGATGAAATCCGGCTAATAGAAGTTCTGAACTGGTTAATAATAAAATACCTGTAATCCTGTATAGTACTGTTGAAGATGGTTATCAGTTGCACGCTTGCTTTCTTCCTTTTTGCTTGATCAAATCACTTGTTGCCAATACATCATTAGAAAGAAAAGAATATTGCGCTAAAAGATGGAAATAGAGTGAATCCTCCAAATGTACTAAAATCAGCAAAATTTGAGAAAGGACAATATAACTCACATTGGTGGTAAAAAAAAAAGTGAGGTAGAGAGATTGAAAAACAGGGGATCTCATAAACTTCGTTGCTATTGGGGAAAAAACGTGCTTTGAAAAATCCAATGAAAAATAGCATTAGAGGGGATGCTGACATTGCACGGTGAAAAACAAAAACTGAACCTTGGGGAAAAATAAAGGTTAACATGTGGTAGCTGTAGATCGAAATCGATGAAGAAGCAATAGTGAGAACAACAATGCTATACTCCCTCCGGTTTTATATTAATTGACGTTTTTGAACAAGATTGATATTAAAATTTTATAACTTTGACCATCAATAACTTTAAAAATATTTAGTTTAAAGAAACTAGAACAACATATATAAATTTGTCTTTCAAAACACTATAATAAAAGTAAACATGCATTTATTTACTGTATATATAATAATAGAAAAATAAGGTTAAAGATATATCTCGTAGACTGTGTCATTGTCTAAAACATCAATTAAAATAAAACTGAAGGGAGGGAGTACAAGGCTAGTGCGAATTAACGCGCTTCGACGATGAAGCACGAACAAATTCCAAGGTTCTTAAGAGGAGGAGTAACCTGCATAGAATTCAACCGGTGGAGACTGGAGTGAAGAGTCGAGAGGAGAGGACGACCCCAAAATCCAAGCTACCATAGGGGGAGCACTGAATGGGTGTGGTGTGAGTAAAGGCATAGGCTGTCATTATGATGGCCATCAGTTTTCTTCGTTTGCGGCTGGCCAACTCGCATGGAGGAGATGAGCAGTTCGACCGTCGGGGAATGCTGCATTATTTTCTTCTCGGTTTCAGCAGGGGAGTGGAGCAATCAACAACGGAGAACCGAGAGGTTAGGGGGCTCATGCACCATGTCCATTGATTGTGCCAGTAGTGATTGCCTGGCCTTGGCTGGACTTGATTGCAACATGCCCACGTTCGGAGCTGGGCTAGCATGCCTGTTTAGTTCGCGAAAAAGAAATTATTTGGTGTCACATCGGATGTTTGACCGGATATCAAAAGAGGTTTTCGAACAGGAATGAAAAAACTAATTTCATAACTCGACTGGAAACCGCGAGACGAATCTTTTGAGCCTAATTAATCCGTCATTAGTATATATGGGTTACTATAACACTTATGGCTAATCATGGACTAATTAGGCTCA